GTTCTCAGGGTCTAGAACCAGGTCTGGTGCTAAGTAAATATCTTGAGATTGAATCAAGAAATGATGTGTCTCCAGTTGTCTCCAAAGATTTGAGGCGATCCTTGGGTGTCCTCCTTGTCCCCTTCCCTGTCACGTCCTCTCTGTCCTCACGACCGCATGAGGAGCCACAGCGCCCCTGCGAACATGCAAGGGAGGCTCTGGCGTGGGGGCTCACCAGGACAGCACGCCCACTTTCCTTCTCAGCCTTCTCGTCCCTGCTCAACAGCCTCTGTGTCTCTGCCTTGCAGGCTTCTACGTGTCCTTAGTCCCTGTGTTAGTCCAGGCTCCCGAGAAACAGAGCCTGAGATGAGGACGCTTGTGCAAGTGACTTACTGAAGGAGAGCTTCCGGGAGGAACCTGTAAGAATGTGAGGGAAGTGGGATGTGTAGAGGAAACATCTAGGCACAGATGTGACCTCAGGTGATATCTAGCCTCATCCTCGCCCCCCAGGGAGCCCTGGAGGCTCAGCTGCCTGTCCTGCCTTGAGATGAGGGAGCAAGTGTTTTGAGCCCTGTGCTGGTCAGTCATTGGCTCAGGGGTGCCCCAGCTGGGGACAGAGGGAGTCAGGACATTAATCCCAGACACCTCGGAGCTGGGCAGCTCCAAAGCCCAAGGGCAGCCGTCTAGAGGAGTGTCACTGTGTGTCCCTGCCATCCTATGGTAGCAGATAAACGGAATACAGAGACCCGAATGGGGCTACAGGTCCTTTGGGTTTTGCTGGCAACTCTTTATGACCTTCTTCAGCCGAAAGTCCTAGATCAGTGTGCAATTTCTGGAAAGTTCTGAGAATTTCCGGGCTGGACTGCCAGAGGGTGCTCTCCTCTGTCACCCTCCACCCCAACCTCCCATCCTCTCTGACCCCATCGACGTGTGTGTGTGTGTGTGTGTGTTAAAATCGTGATTCACAACCCAGCCACGTTCCTGCCAGAGACAAGGTCGGGGAAACGTGCACTGTTACCAGCTCCCAGCTGCAGCCACACGGCAGAGACACTGCCATGTATTTGTGCTGTGTGGACTTGTCTGCCACCAGGAAAACAGGGAGGAAATTGGGCGCCACACTCCATCAGTCTCCGCTACATGAAGGGTCTGTTGTCCATGTCATACAACTGAGACCTAGGGCACCTGCTTAGACCAAGTGACCAGGTCCTCAGGACTGAGGATTGAGATGAACTGCCTGTCAGCCTCCCTGGGAGCTGCTGATGTGATGATGTGGTAAATGGATGGTGCTGTCACCAGGCAAGCTTGCGTTTACGTCTCAGCTTCCCAACCTCCCAACAGCGGGCGCTGGGGAAAGCTACTTTTTCTGAAACTCATCTATATAATGGTGACAGCGCCTACACTGCAAAGTTGTTATGAAAATTAAATGGCACCTGGCACATAGTAGGGACTCAATAAACGAGAGCCATCACTTTGAGTTATTTCCCTTTCAACAGAAAGGAAAGCCAGAAAGGAGTGGATATTGATAGCTCTGGACTGAGAAAGAGCGAATGTGGTTTGTGTGTTTGTGTGTGTGTGTGTTTACGCATTGCGTGCACCAGGCATCATTGTTCTGGGTGTCTGAGCACCTATTGCTTCATGAAATACAACAATTTTGTAACTGAGGTTTCGTGATGATTTCTACAGAGGAGACTGAGGAACAGATCATCTGTTTGTCTCTCTGTAGAGATTGGGTCCTGAGTACTGAACATGAATGAGACTCTTCTCCTCTGGACACCTGCGAAGTTAAAGGAAAGCCCCCTGACACAGCGCGTGGGACAAGCCCAAGCCAGCCCCGCCCATCTCCCCCGCAGGCCACCCTCTGGTCCTGGAGGTGCTTTCCAACCACAGCCAGGCTCTTGGGGCTCCGCTCACTTTCCCACCCCCCACCCCTCCACGCTTCTGGGTGCTGATGGCTTCTTGCTCTTGCAGGCCCCCAACACTGCCTGCTGGTGTCCCGTGAACCAAGGTGATTCCTAGTCCCCCTTCAGTAAACAATCCCTTTTAAAAACCTTTATCATTCCATTTATCTGGAGGGAGGAGAAGCTAATTAGGTTTATGTATTTATTTGTTTTAATGGAGGGACTGGGGATTGAACCCAGGACCTCATGCATGGTAAGCGCTCACTCTGTCACTGAGCTATACCTTCCCTCAGTAAATAATACCTTCTTTTTTGTTACTTTTATCATTGCATTTATTTTTATTTTGTTGGGGAGGTAATTATTTATTTTTAATGGAGGGACTGGTTACTGAACCCAGGACCTCATGCATGCTAAGCACTCACTCTACCACTGAACTACCCCCTCCCCCCAGAAAATAATTCCTTTAGGAAATTGCCCTGAATTATTCCATTTGAATGTGCCATCTGTTTCCTGCCAGGAACTGTGACTGATTTAGTATGTTTTTCCTCAAATAACTTTAAAACTTTGTCATTTCAAGATGCTATTGTGTGCATTACACAGAGGTCAGTGAACGTGGAAAAAAAAGAACAAAACTCTATTTCATCTGACACCAAAATAAGGCAACTAACCCTGGTCCCCAGGTTCTCCCTCCTTTATTGGCTCCTGTTAATACTCTTCAAAGGCTACAGTCATCAACGGCAGGAAATGAAAAACTGAAACCCTCAGTGCCCAAACACTGACAAGCTTGTGCTCTCCTACCTAGCCTTCATCACTAGATTATAAAGTTTTTAAGGGCAAAGATGATTTCTTTTTCATCTTCTGTCCCTTTGGCTTGATGCACTCAGTGATTTCAAGTTCTTTGTAACACAGCCTTCCTAAAAGTTATAATACAAGTAGCTGAAGTCATGAATCTATCAGAAAGCCCCTAGCGTTCTCCCATCCTCCGTTCCCAGCACAGGAGTCTCCCTCCCCATCCCCAGACACTCACACACCGGGTCTGACCAAGGCTTTATCTGACAGAGAATACCTTCCTGGGTTCTGCCATGCCAAGGCTGAGCCACTGACTGAAGGCTATCTTTTGCTCATTAAAATTCCTTCTTTTTTCATAGCCAGCTCTTCAGCCCAGCTCTCTGGCAACTGATCTGATGAACATTTCCAAGAGGGTGTGGTGAATCATTTAAGGTGGTATTTTAATAGTAATAATTAATTTTGTTATGTTTATAATCTACATAACCAGCAGATCAAATCAGTTGTTTTGCTTAGGATGAGACTAAAATTAGGCAGAAATGAATTGGTTTAATAAAAAAAATTAAGTAAGAATATAAGTGACATAAAAACGTAACAAAAATCAAGAAGAATCATCAGCTATGATGATCCATTTTAAGTGTCAGTTTGGTTCAGCTATTAATGTACCCAGATAGTCAATCAAACACAAATCTAGGTGTTGCTGTGAAGGTATTTTTTAAGATATGATTGACATCTACAATCAGCTGACTTTAAGTAAAGGACATCATCTTCTATAATGTGGTTGGGTCTGATTCAATCAATTGAAAGACTTTAAGGGAAGAATGGAGCTTTCCTGGCAGGGAAGAAATTCTGCCTGTAATACTG